AAGCTTTAGTAAAAAAAAAAAAAAAAAAAAAAAAATTTGCACAAAACGATATAAAAAAAAAAAAAAGCTTCGAAAATAAAATTAAAAAAAAATAATAATAATAATATTTATATATACTCACTTTATTTGCTGATTGATGCCTTTCCCTATTTGGTGACACTATAATATCCTGTCCTGTTTGAAATGATCCAACCGGTGTAGACTGAAACATAAAAAAAAAATTTCAATTTTATTAAAAAATAAATAAAAATGAAAAATTACAATAAATCAAAACTTTTATCAAATTCATCCCTACGATCGATAATAATAATAATAATAATAATAATGATGAAGAATCTAAATGATGATTATTTAAATGAGAAAAACAACAACAACAACTATTTTTTAACTACTATTTGTTTACTATGCAAAATGATATAGAAAAAATTACAAAATAATACAACAATCAACAACAACAACAACAACAACAACAACTACACACACAAATGCAAACAAAACAAAATTTAAATTTTGATGATGATTGATTTAAATTTAAAAACAAAACGCACCTCATCAGATCTCGGTTTGCGAAATTTTACCGGCAATGCATATTTCAATAATCTTAATTTATAAAAATTTTTCGGCTTTTTTCGATAACAACATGCAGCATGCAACAAAACAAAGTTTAAAAAAAAATTAAAAATGTTTTAAAACATTTATTAATTGAATTTGTTTTTGATTATTTAAACAAAAAAATTGTCAAGTTAAATAAAGCCAAACACGTTAGAAAAAAAAACAAAAAATTGTTTTCCATTATTGCCATCGTGCCACATGATCGCCACACAACAATACATATATGTACATAAAATTTTTCTCTTTCCCTTCATGGATACCATTATCAGGTGGTTATAAAGTTCATGCAAAACGTTACACAAAAAAATCTGTAAAGAAAAATTTTTTAATTGCAACATTAAAGTCTCTGTTCCTCTTCCTTTCGTTTGTTTTTGTTGTCGTTAAATTCATTCATTGGTTAATCACGTGATTTATTATAAACAATAAAAAGTTAACAACAATTTTCATTTGTTTATCATTATTAAAAAAATAATAATAATTACATATTAAATTGACAATAATAGCGTAAAACGTGAAGTTTGAAACCAGTGAACTTTTTTTTTTTTTTTTAAAAAAGCCCGCGAAAAAATTTTAAATTTATAATTTATTTAATATCACATACATAAAAAAAAAAAGAAAACTTGAATAATTTTCGAAATAATAATAATAAGTATAATAATAATAATAATTACCCTGAGATACAAATTAATTTAATAAATAATAATAATAATAATTTCATATTTTATTTTAGTTTTTTTTTTTTTTTTATTAGCTCTTTTTTTCTCTTACTTATCGTAGTAAAATTAATTTAAAATTACCAAAAAAAAAGGGGGGGGTAGGGAAAGGGGGGGGGGGAAAAAAAAAAAACTAAAATAAGAAAGTTTCAAGAAATGAAAAAAAAACAATAATAATAATAATAAAGCCAATATTTAAATGGCAAATAAATAAAACGGTGTAATTTATCATAATTAATAATCAAGAGATCGGGTACTTTTTTTTTTTTTTTTTTTTTTTTTTATAATTTTATATATAAATAAATAAATAAATAAGTAAATAAATAAAACAAATTTTTTAAAAACAAATAATAAAAAAAAAAAAAACAAATTTTTTGTCTTTTTTTAAACTTTTTTAATAATGTTAAACATTTTTTTTTTTTTTTTTTTTTTTTTTTAAGGAGTTCATTTCTTTTTTTCATATTTTTTTTTTTTTATTGTTAATGATTATTATCATCATCTTCGTGAATGACGGTTTAAAATCATGAGGAGGAGAAGGGAGGAAGGAGGAGGAGGAGGAGGAGGAAGAGGAGGGCCCTTAACTTGCGTTTCTTCTCGTCTGTAGGAAAAATAAAAAAAAAATATGAAAAAAAAAAGAAAAAAGTTATGTAAGTTGAGAAAAAAAAAAAAAAAATGGGCGTTTGTAAGATTTCAACGGCTTTACAAAAAAAAAAAAAAATAAAAAAAATAAAAAATAAAATAAAAAAAAAAAATAGAAAAAAAAAGAAAAAATTAAAGATTCTCAATAAGGTTATTATATAAACATAATTTACCGAAAACTATTAGGCAGAATTTTTTTTTTTTTTTTTTTTTTTTTTTTTTATTGTACAGAATTTGTTTGTTTGTCTGAAAACTTCGTTTTATACTGTACATAAATTTTTTTTTTTTTTTTTTTTTTTTTAAATTTCGACTTTAACAGATCTGTCCGGTAGTAAACACCATATTGACTTAATAAACCAGAAGATCTGAAAATAATTAATTTACTTTCAAAAAAAAAAAAAAATTTAAAAAAATATTTTTTTTTTGCATTAATAAGAAAATGAAACATTTAATAATATACTATTATTATTATTATTATTATTTTAATATAAAGGAATACGAAAAAAAAAACAAAAAAAAAATTTACCACACTAATAAAAAGCCTTATTTGCAGCCATATTTAAATAAAAAAGGACTAATTAAGTTGGTTTTTTTATCGGGTCAGCCTTCATTTCGCCACGATGAGACTCAAGCTACAAGAATAAAACTTTTTAAAATTCTTAATAGTACTTTTTTTTTTTTTTTTTTTTTTTAAATTATTAATATTAATTAATTAAATATTTTATTTTTGATCACTACACACTATCGTGTTTATCGAACCTGATTGTGTTGAACCTGATAATAATTTTTAATTGATAAAAATCGCGCGTAAAACGGAGCCGACAGGTTTTCAAGATGGTTTGATATGACTAGTAATCATAAGAATTTTATTAAATAGGTTCAAAACAAGGTCGCAAATCATTCCGATGACAGATTGGTGGTGGTTGATTCATACAAACGCACACTAATTTCAATTACGTCCGTCAATATATATATAAATATATACTTAAAGACGTACACGTGTTCTTTGCGACGTACAAAAAAATGAACGTGCAAAATTAGAGTCGTCGCCATTTATTATTACCCCCGTAAGAAGCGACAATCATATATGATTGATTACGCGTTGTATTATTTCATTCGGAAAAACAAAAACAAAAAAAAAAAAAAAAAAAAAAATGTGTGTGTATAAAACTCACCATGGGTTTTCCCGTCCAGTCAAACTCTCCATCGTCGGTGTACCCTCTTCTTTCAAATAATTCCTGAAATAGTTTCCTTAGGTACTCGTAGTCTGGCGTTTCGAAAAAATCTAACCGCCTAACGTAGCGTAGGTAAGTAGCCATTTCCTCTAAAAAAAAAAAAAAAAATTAAAAAAATTAATTTCAGATTCCAAAAAGTGTTTTCAATATTCGATAAAATTGTAATTTCGAAAAAAAAAAAAAAAAAAAAAATTTTAAAAATTTTAAAAATTTATTACCAGGGTGCCCCTCGCAGAGAACCTCAATCGGCGTTGCTCTTTTGGTATCTCCTATTTTTTGGTACCTTTCTTTTAGCGTATCTGCTTTTAATCCCTGCCAAGGCAAACTCCCTCTCAAAAAATACATAAACATATGGCCGAGGGCTTCCAAATCGTCCCTCCTGCTCTGTTCCTTTCCCAAATGTGTATTTATACTCATATATCTAGCGGTACCGGTCAGACTTTTATGTTCCCGATATGGTATGTGCTTGTTTGTTTCTAAATCGATATATTCCTTGGCCAAACCGAAATCTACGAAAAACAAAAAAATTTTAATAAAATAAATAAACAATTTAATAAAGTGAAACAAATGAAAATTTTTTTTTTTTTTTTGTTGGCATTACCTATTATATGAATAATTTTCTCTTTTTTAGTACCGATCCTACCGATGAGGAAATTTTCAGGTTTTACATCCCTGTATATTAAATGTCGACCGTGAACATATTCTATTCTATGCAACTGAAAATAAAAAGCAAATTAGTTCCTTTAAAAATAAATTTTTTCTCTTTTCTCTTTTCTCCTTTCTTTTCTTCTTCTTTTTTTTAAACATTTGTTAGTCAATATCAAAAAAATTTACACATAAAATATTATTTATTTTATCATTTTCACCATCCATTTTTTCAAAAAAA